TTTAACATTTTACAAGGTTATCAAAACAAATGTGAGGATTCAGTTCCACCATATCTCCTTTTTTTATGTTAAGCCCACCACTACATCACAGTACCCCAATACTGGTGGGTACTACACTAATTTTAACATAGGACATTAACATGGTAACTGGGATACTTACAGCTTGAACTGCTTCCACGGACTCACGATAATTTATCCTCTATCTCCTCCAAAAGGGCTCCGATAGTGAGTGGTGGAGTGCTCAGCCTCCTTGGTGAGTGACTTTTCTCTACTATCCTCTCACCCCTTTGACTTTTTGAATGATTTAAACTACATGTGTTTTTCACTTCATATTACTGTGGATTCCTGCAATAGAGATTGCAAGGTATATTGTGTTTAGAGTTAGGTCTGGAAATATTTGGCCACTGACACTATTTTTTTAATTGTGGCTCTGTATGCCTCCCCAATGGATTTGAAATGAAACAATCGAGATGCAATTGAAGTGCAGACTTAAAGCTTTATGTCAAGGGGTTGAACAAAAATATTGTATGAAACATTTAGGAATTGTAACCATTTTCATACACAGTCCCCTTATTTCAGGGGCATAAATGTAATTGGACAAATGAACACAGTCATAAATAAAGATGTCAATTATTAATACTTTGTTTGGAATGACTGCTTGAAGTCTAGAATGGACTGACATCACCTAAAGCTGGGTTGTCTCCTTTCTGATGCTTTGTCAGGCCTCTTCTGCAGCGGTCATCAGATTTGTTTGTGGGTCTTTCTTCCTTAAGTTTTGTCTTCAGCAAGTGAAATGTAAGTTAATTGCATGCTCGCTTGGTTTAAGATCAGGTGATTGATTCAACCATTGCAGAATATTCCACTTCTTTGCCTTAAACAATTTTGGGTTACATTCACCTTGTATTTTGGGTCATTTACCATTTGTAAAGTGAAGAGCCATCCAAACAACTTTGCTGAATTTGGCTAAATCTGAGCAGTCAATATATCCCTCACATTTCAGAATTTGTCCAGCTGCTTCTGTCTTCTGTTACATCAACAATAAACACTAGTGACCCAGTACCAGCGGAAGGTATGCATGCCCATATCATCACTGACTCCACCGTGTTTTACAGATGATGTGGTATGCTTCAGATCATGAATAGAGTTGAGCGGACACCTGGATGTTTGGGTTCGCCGAGTTCGGCCGAACTTCGCCAAAAGGTTTGAGTCAATGGGGACCCGAACTTTTGGGCACTAAAATGCCTCTAAAATAGTCATGGAAAGCGCTAGAGGGCTACAAAAAGGAAGTAACATTGGATAAGAGTGTTCTGCAAACAAATGTGGATAGGGAAATCACTTAAAATAACATAAAATACATACAAATTAAGAATACAGCTGAGCCATAAATAGCACTAGATGGAATCTTTGGTTTTAGCTTTGGAAGAACATAAAGCAAAATCTAAAGCATGGCTCTCAGGAGGATCACCAGAATTATCCATTTCAGAGAGGGTTGGAGTGCATGGTATTCTCTTTCATTGTTCAAACTGAGCTCAACTTCTGATGCTTGGAGAAAAAGCCTTCACAAGCCTCAGCTATTGTGTACATAGTTTATACTAAGAGACCCATAGGTTGAGGAGGCAGTGACTGTGGCGGTGTAGGTGGAAGCAGTGGTGGAGGAGTAGGAGGTAGCCAACACTGTTTTTTATTTGTTTGTTTTATTTTAATTGGGGTAGCCCCGAAAATATTGGGACATATCAAAAAAGAAACATTTGCAGCCTGCTGTGCATTTCTTGCAGTCCAATAACGCCATCAGGTTTTTAAAACTGTCCGTCTCCACCAGACGGAATGACAGTGTAACGGCACCCTCAGCATCAAATAGTCAATCCACCGTTTAGTGAATCCTCCCCTCTCACCATAACGCAAGCTTCATTCGTATCAACTTCAGTTATACGAATTGCAAGCAGGGAAATGCTCCAATCTCCCGAACGGGTACTTCACTTCCCGATCAGCAAACTCATAAATCGCCGCTACTCGTGTAGTAAATTCCCCTAAGCTCCTGAGGAAGTCGGACGACGAAACGCATTGAGCACTATCTGGGACCCTGCACTTTGGTATCAGCGGCTTTATTTTGTATGTGTGCTGATTTTCTACATTGCTTATGCAAGTTATCTTTTTGGGCTTACTGTATGTGTATGTAAAACTGGCTTGGTGCACTTTTTTGTATTGGCATTTTGCACTTTAGCACTTGCACTTTATTTTATTGCCCAGTTCAGCATTATGTATTGTTAAGCTGCTATACCTATGGGTTCCTGCCTATTGTGGCTTTTTTAAATAATCTGGCACTTTTGTTGTGCTGTGATTCTACATTCTTTATCAATAAACTTTTGCTGCTGTTTGTTTTATATTCTATATTTTTCTTTTCCCTCATTATTATCTACCTATATAGTGATTGTGGTGCCCTGTTTGTTCGAGTATTTTTTCTTTAATTATTGGATTTGGAGTGTCCAATTTACAGAGGCTTGCCTGCACCTGTTTTTAGTTATTGTTCACCCACCCACCTTTCTATATCTTTCTTTCTGCATATAATATTCCCAGCATGCATCATGGTTTCCTCCCCTCTGCCCTGGAGATAATTGAGAAGTAATTCAATTATCTCCCAGGACAGAGGCAAATCGCCATTTTAGATGTGACCTAAAAAACACATAAAAATATATAACTTTATAATTGCCGAACATTTCTCATTCGTGTAACGTATCCCCATATAGCCTGGATCTGAGTGCATATTATTGGCGAATAGCGCTCAGATGCCATACGCACAGTTCAATCCCCATGGAGTCAAAGTCTATTACATTCTTTCGGTATGCGATTGACTCCATGGGAAGGCTATCTGGGTTAAGTCTTTTCGTGCGGTTCAAACTCCCGAACGGACGGTGTTTGCATGCTTTTGTCAATCGAGAAGGGAGGTCGGTGGTTTTATCGGTGTTCGGCGGAAAAAGTGTCCATTTTCAGTTTCATAGAATTTGTGCTGAACACCGCTGGTCTTTCGCCTATTTTAAAATGGCCGCCGCCTTGTGGTCGACATGCGAACGACGACCACCCTGTATTCGGTTTTTATTGAGAGGTGTCTGCGGTTAACCAAAACGTTCTAATTGGGATCAAGAGGTTAACCAGCAGCACACTTCTCTTCTGGGTGGCCGTCCGTTCGGTAGTTTTGTTCGGTAGCAAAGTCAAATAAACGAACAGGGGCATACGAACAGGTAATTCCACGAAAAGAGGCAAAACAGACGAACCAGCAATCCCAGTCTCTACAGATGAATCTGTCACAGACAGCATTTCAAAGGCCAGGAATTTTGAAATGCTGGCATTCAGGGCCAGGCATCGCGGGTGGGTACGGGGGTACTTCCTCTTTCTCTCCAGTGTTTGGGAGATGGACAGCTGAAGGCTTCCATGGGACAGTGTGGAGATGCTGGACAATTGTGTACCTACCCTATGCTGGTGCAGGAACCCACCCTCTAAGCCACTTGGGAATGACTGGCCTGATAACCATGGAAATGACCCCTCTTCCATCTCCTCTTCCTCCTGTACCACATCCTCTTCCATCATCGCCCAAAGCATTTTTTCAAGGAGACACAGAAGTGGCATAGTAAGGCTGAGAATGACGTCAGCGGCACTGGCCATGTTGGTGGAGTACTCGAAACAGCGCAACATGGCACACAGGTCTCGCATAGAGGCCCACTCATTTGTGGTGAAGTGGTGCTGTTCTGCAGAGCAAATGACCCATGTGTGCTGCAGCTGAAACTCTACTATCGCCTGCTGCTGCTCATACAGTCTCTCCAGCATGTGCAAGGTGGAGTTCCACCTTGTGGGCACATTGCATATGAGGCGGTGAGCGGGAAGGCCAAAGTTACGCTGCAGCGCAGACAGGCGAGCAACAGCAGGGTGAGAACCCCGAAAGCGTGCACAGACAGCCCAAACTTTTTGCTGCAGCTCTGATATATCTGGGTAGTTTTTTCAGGAATTTATGCACCACCAAATTCAGCACATGCTCTAGGCAAGGGATGTTGGTCAAACCGGCTAGGCCCAGAGCTGCTACGAGATATCACCCATTATCGCACACCACCAGGCCGGGCTTGAGGCTCAGGGGCAACAACCACTCATCAGTCTGTTGTTCCATGCCCGTCCACAGCTTCTGCATGGTGTGGGGTTTTTAACCCAAACATATGAGTTTTAAAATAGCCTGCTGTCGTTTCCCCTGGCTGTGCTGAAGTTGGTGGTGAAGATGTTTCACTGACTGGATGAGGAGGTGGTAGAGGAGGAGGAGGAAGTGGAGTAGGAGGAGGAGGCAACAGTAGGCAAAGCTGTGTACCCAAATAAAGATTGTCAAACATTGTATCCTGGAACCATCGGGTTAGTGGGGAAATGGGTCTGACTTATTCTAATCAAGGGGGATAACCATCGGTTAGCCAGGTGCCGCTTCAATTGGTGGCAAGTGGCGGGATCTCATGTCCCTGCCAACAGACCCATGGACTACAGTGCTCTAAAGCAACCTACGATGCAGGACTTGTGTGGAGCCAGAGGAATAACGCCTGGTGGGCGTAACAATTTGTCACGTATTCATCCGCTTATAGAAATGTGGTTAATGACATTTACTGTCCACACAGGAAAAGTTGTGCCGAGCAGCAACCTAATCCACAGAAGGGTTAATACTGAGCAGCAATTATGCAAATGAAGCCTATTCCAAGACGTGGTCCCCAGCGACTGGGTCACCATCCTGGCCAGCAAACTAGTGGGGAAGGCAGCAGATATTTACCGGGCTGTACCAGAAGAGCAGATCAGAGACTATCCCTTTATTACACAAATTCTCCTGGCCCGGTATGCGGTCACACCTGAGCAATACCGCCGAAAGTTTAGGGAGACCCGGAAAGGGGAGAAGGACTCCCATGTGGAGTGGACATGGCACATCACCAGAGCTGGCTCAACTCTCATCAAGCCAAGTTCCCGGAGGAGATCACCCAGCTCTTCATGCTAGAGCACTTTTTTAATGGGCTCCCCAACGGCAAGGAGACAACACATTCGTATGTCATCCATAGCAACTTTCGATGCAATTTACTGTGCCTACCATGGTGACCACGGGTAACAGGAAATTAGGGTTCGATTCCGGAGAGGGAGCCTGAGAAACGGCTACCACATGCAAGGAAGGCAGCAGGCACGCAAATAACCCACTCCCGACGTGGGAAGGTAGTGACGACAAATAACAATACATGACACTTTAGAGGCTCTGTAATAGTAATGAGTCCACTTGAAATCCTTTAACTCTGATCAATTGGAGGGCAAGTCTGGTGCAGAGCGACTGACCCGTGCGTGCTGCAGCTGAAACTCCACTATCGTCTGCTGTTGCTCGCACAGTCTCTCCAGCATGTGCAAGGAGGTGAGTGGGAAGGCCAAAGTTATGCTGCAGTGCAGACAGGCGAGCAGTTGCAGGGTGAGAAGGCTGAAAGAGCGCACAGCCGCTACAGTGAATGTCACACCCTGTTTCAAGTTGCAGATCAATCTGGTGATGGCTTCTGGTATCCAGTACTCTTTTTACTGAAGCTGCATCAGGGTCCTGGTATGTGGCTGCACAAATGCTGGTGCTCAACATCAGGGGGCGTGCGGTTACCCTGCACCAGACCCTGCTAATCCATTCCACACTGTAACTCCTAACTTCAACATCAGACATACTAGGTCCCGGTCTTCCGACCGCCGCCCAGTCAGTGTCTGGATCCCGGTCACCGGACTATGAAACTGTGAATGGCTCGTTAAATTTGTTATGGTTCCTTTTATCACTCCATCTGTTACTTGCCTAACTGTGGGAATTCTAAAGATAATACATGCCGACGAGCGCTAGGGGATGGCCGCTCCGCTTTTGCACCCTGCTCCTTCTTATGCTGTGCTAGTGCCTCTGTGCAACAGGTCCCTCTTCCTCCAAACTGCACACGTCACACGCATGACCTTGATTCCATGTGGGATCTAGGACCTCATCATCCTCCACAGCATCTTCCACCCACTCCTCAACCCTGCCCTCTTTGCCGGTCTGCACACTGCAGAAATCCACAGCAGTTGGCACCTGTGTTTTTCCAGCAAGTAAAGTCTGCATAGGACATATGGAAATTGTTTTAGAATTGTATCCAGGCAAACGTTTTCCCTATAAACTGACCTCTCAGTTTGACTGGTGAGGATATTGCCCCAGAATTACAGTATTGGTATAATTACAGTATACGGTTCTATTTGACTGTCAGATATAAAGAGCACGCCCCAAATTTACTACTTAGCAGATTAGCACCCAGAAAATAAGAATGTTTCAAACTAGCTGTAAGTGCAGTATTTGACGCTTCTTTTTGACTCTCAGATACGAAGAGCATGCCCCAATTTACTATTTAGCATATTAGCACCAAAACAATTAGAATTTTTACAATTGCGTTGTAACTGCACTATTTGATGCTTCTATTTGACTCTCAGCTATGAAGTGCAAACACCAAATGTTCTATTTTGCAGATTAACACCAAAACAATTAGAATTTTTACAACTTCACTGTAATCACAGTATTTGACGCTTCTATTTGACTCTCAGATATGAAGTGCATCCCACTAATGTATTTTAGCATCCACAAAATTTTATGTTTTAAAACTGCAATGTGAAAGCAGTATTTGACACTTCTATTTGACTCTCAGATATGAAGAGCACTCCCCAAATTTATTATTTAGCAGTTTAGCACCATAACAATTCGAATTTTTACAACTGTGCTGTAAGCACACTATTAGATGCTTCTTTTTGACTCTCAGATATTAAGAGCAGCCCCCAAAATACACTATTTAGCAGATTAGCACCAAAACAATTAAAATGTTTACAACTGCGATGTAAGCGCACTATTTGACGCTTCTATTTGATTCTCAGATATGAAGAGCAGGCCCCAAAATGTACTATTTAGCAGATTAGCACCAAAACAATGAGAATGTTTACAACTGCGCTGTAAGCGCACTATTTGACGCTTCTATTTGACTCTCAGAAATGTACTATTTACCAGTTTAGCACCAAAATAATTAGAATGTTTAAAATTGTGCTGTAAGTGCACTATTTGATGTTTCTGTTTGACTCTCAGATATAAAGTGCACCCCACTAAAATACTATTTAGAAGTTTAGCACCCAAAAAATTTAAGTTTTAAAACTGCAATGTGACAGCAGTATTTGACGCTTCTATTTGACTCTCAGATATGAAGTGCACCCCACTAATGTACTTTTTAGAACCCAAAAATGTAAGTTTTAAAACTGCAATGTGACAGCAGTATTTGACGCTTCTATTTGTACTATTTAGCACCCAAAAAAATTGACTTTTTAAAACTCCAATGTAACCGTGGTATTTGAAGCTTCTATTTAACTCTCAGATATGAAGTGCACCCCACCCCACTAAAGTACTAGCTTGCATAATTCTTTCCTAAGCTGTCCCTGAAAGCAGCAGCATCCTCTCCCTACATTAATAAAAGCTCATGTGCGTGTGGCGCTACGCGACTCCAGCTTATATATAGTAGGCATGGCTGTGATGGCTTCTTAGGGCACACAAGTCAAACTCTTGTTGATTGGATGCCCTGTAGCCTTTGAAAACGTGCCATTAAATCGCCGAACACCGAACTCCAACCCGAACATACAGTGATATGTCCGTGTTCGTTCCAGGGTCCAAAAACCGTAATTTTCAGTACGAACCCAAACTTTACAGTCCGGGTTTTCTCAACTCTGGTTCTGACACATCATGGCCAGCATTAAGCTTTTTAGCAATTTAAACAACAGTATCTTTTCTGTGTGATTGGACGAGATGGGCTTGCCTTTACACTCTGGGTCTATTAATGAACCTTGCACTACTTTTAGTAAGTAATAACCACTGCATTCCAGGATCACCTCACAAGACTTCCGGCTTTGGAGATGCTCTGACCTAGTCGTCTTATCATTACTATTTGGCCTTGGTCAAAATTATTCAGATCTTTTTGCTTGTAATTTTTCCATCTTCCGTCACTTGAAATCCATGAACTGACTGTTCACTTGCTGTCTAATATATCCCACCTAGTAAAATATGCCATTGTAATGATATAATCAATGTTATTCACTTCACCATTGTAAAGTCAATGGTTTTAATGCTGTGGCTGATCAGTGTACAGCTACAGAAGAATACAGGCACCATGTCCACACACCATATGGGAACTTGGAAGGATAATAAAAAAATTTGTTTTTAAGTAATGTTGTTTTCTTTTTGAGGAGTACAACACAGTAACATTAACCCCTTCAGGACAGAGTCAATAGTACTGATCAAAACACAATGTAAACAAAAACTGGAATTTGCGCTATATGTCTGTTCAACCATAATTAACCTCTTTCATTTAAAGTGCACCCACACTTAATATATATAATTTCATTTAGGAGAAGCAGGGCATTAATTTCTCATGAACTATTCATATATGAAACAAAATTTATTATGAATGCAATTTAAAAAACTGCGAGAAATTACGATTTATTAAAAGAAATTGTAGTTCCACCCGTCATAATACTATTAGCTTTTTCTGCAATAAACTTTTTAGAAGCTGGCCATAATCTGGCAAGTCTCAGATTTAAGGGTATAGACCATATACTCATCTCCCCGAGAGGACACAACAGGGTCACAGCTTTACTGAAACATGAAGCCTTCTGGATACACACCTTGGGCAACTAAACAGGAGACACACCTTGGGAACGATATTACTATGTGGACTAAATGAGAAGAACTTGTTGTATTGCTTTCTACAAAGATGATGCGCTTTAATAATGAAGATGAAGCTGTATATATTGGGTCATCTCATCCAAATGATGTTCATGTTTATAAGGGGTGGATGATAGCATAGATGTTATCAGGTTACAATATTAATTTACGTTATTAATCTTTGTTATGCTAGTAAATATATTTTATTTATCACTGGTGTGTCAAAGATGGAGATCTGTCTGGACCTGTGCAAATTTGTAGGAGTAGTATCTCTATGTATGTATCTGCCATCTAAACTTCCATAGTAACTTTAGTATCCTCCTTTCTACTTCTCTGTACCAGCTCTGCACTCTGATACATATTAGTCACAATTTAAACTATACTCTGTGCCTCTTTCGAATATGAAGCTTTGATACTACAGACAGTACAATACACACAGTATTCTCCTCTTAGGTTGTTCTCAGAGATCCTTTTTGTATATTCTGTTCATATATCTTTTTATGTATATTTTGTATATATATTCTTTGTGCTTTTTCTCACCCTCACAGGGTTAAACCTGATCACTTATGCTAATTCTCTTATACCACGTCATCAGGTGATGTCACACTGCCTCGTTTTCATTACCACACCTTCCAATCAAACTGTTTTCTTATGTATATAACAGCCACAAGCTCACATTGTAAATTGTCTTGAAAAAAGTCTGCATAGACTGAAACGTCGACTATTGTGTTTATCACTGTGTTTGCTAAATAAAGCAGCAGTTTGAATTTACTTTACCAAGACTCCAGAGTGCTCTCTACTAGGTATATATATTTTGGTTGGAGATTGTGCAACGGAGCACAAAAAGACTGGGAACATCAAGTGCTGGGACCTGAAAATATATATATATATATGATGTGACGAGGCTAATCTCACCACTGTGCATTGGAGGAGCCTGGTTGCCCGCCTGCTGCCTTTAGATTATGGCCCCATGTTGAAATGCTGGATTTTCATGTTGAATGTACCTGTTTTATGCAATGGCTGCACAGTTATATATTTTTATGTATTTTATTGTCTTTTGCTGCCATGTGTTCAATGGAGTTTTGCCTCTCTCCTTGGAGATAATTGGATTACTTCCCAATTATCTCCAGGATAGAAGACTCTGTGGAACTGGTTTTGGGCAGAAAAGCCATGCTTCATTTGGTCACAAAGGACTACGATCTATCTTTTGAACCACTGGACCAATTTGTATGATTTTGATGTATGTTTGTATTAGGAGTATGCTGATTCTGAAAATGTAAATTAATTAATGTGAGGCATACTTTTAAAATTATGAATAATGTGGAAAAACTGTATTTCTCTGCCTGTGATAATTACATTACCCATTGTGTAAGGTAATTGTATCACAGACAGAGGGGAGGATTTTGTGTGGGAGTGTCTGGGTGTATTGTATATGTTTATTG